AACTGGAGGACGATAAGGACGCTCACTTCAACAACTTCTATTCAACATAGTACTGGAAGTCCTAGCTGGAGCAATTAGGCAAGAGAAAGAAATAAAGGGCATCCAAATCAGAAAAGAGGTCAAACTATCTGTTTGCTGATGATATGATCTTATGTCTAGAAAACCCTAAAGACTCCTTCAAAAGACTCCTAGAATTGATAAATAAATTCAGTAGAGTCTCAGGCTACAAAATTAATTTACACAAATCTACTGATAGCATTTCTATATACTAATAACTGTCAAGGTGTATATGTGTGTGTGTATATACACATACACACACACAGTTCCTTATATATAAAGTACTTTATACAAATCTACTGATAGCATTTCTATACACTAATAACTGTCAAGGTGTATATGTGTGTGTGTATATACACATACACACACACAGTTCCTTATATATAAAGTACTTTATATATAAACACAGTATAAGCTGTAAAAGTACAGTTTATTTTTAATACCACTTCCACATTTTTAAAATAGAAAGCTGCAGAAATATGAGTTTGAGATCTTCATGAATTTTTTCAAAATCAATTTTAGAAAATGATTTACAAAATGACTGTCAACACATACATATAATAATAATACAATAGGGAAAATATATGTAAAGTATTTAAAAATGAATGGTAATGAAACTATAGTACTTAGAGTTAAGACAGGAAATAGTAAAGTTGGGAATTAATGAAACAAAAATTTAAAAATGTAGTTGACCAACAAATTCAAAAACTGATTCTTTGAAAATACTAACACAACAATAAATCCCTGGATAAAATATCAGGATTAAAAGAGAATATATGAAAATAAAAAGTAACCCAGTTGTATCTATGTAACATTAGACTAGGGTTGGTAAACTATACCTTGGTAGACCAAATCCAGGCAATCATTTGTTTTTCATAGTAAGTTTTATTGTACCACCTCCACATCCACTCATTTATTATCTATAGCTGCTTTTGTGCTACAACAGCAGTGTTAAGAAATTATAACAGAGACCATATGGCCTGCAAAGTCTAAAATATTTATTATATGGCCTTTTATAAAAATATTTGCTGACCTCTTAACTAGAGGAAACCTAGTTTGGAAGTTCTTTTTTAACTGATTCTATTTCCCAGGGGAATAAGTAGCAACAAGGCTATCATTTAAAAGTGAGATGGGGAGGAGGTCTCCAGAGTTTAAGTAAAGAGCAGTATAAAATCATTATCCAGTAAAAAGGTTAGTGTATGTTCCAGGAAAATGTATTAATATTAGTACTGTCAAACAGTGCTAAGCACTCCACTTAAGGATAGTGACAATATGGGACAAGAAACATGCTTCTCTCTGAAAAATACTTGCATCTCAACAGGTGCTTATAATGAATTGTTTGGCTTCCAAAGTTGGTCCCAAAGATATAGGAACATTTTTCTGATTCAGATTAATTAGAAACTAAATACCAATTAATTAAAAAAGGTTTACTAATTGCAAGTGCATAGAATTAAAACTTGGTTGACAACATTTGTATCTGTGGTTCAGGGAAGTCTCTAAGGGACTTGTTTTAAGAGAAAAAAATGATTTGTACTGAGTTATCTGTTATAAAAGAAAGAATAGTCCAGAAGCAGTACCTCCCCCTACCCCATAGTAACAACAGGTCAAATAATCACAGAGTAGGAAGGGACTTACAGTCCCTTCTAGATAAAATAACCAATTTTAAAGAATAGGAGAAATCTTATTCATTCTGTTGATACTTTACCCAAAGAAATACTTTCTCTAAGCACAACGAATGCTGACCTACTTATTCTGTCTGTAATCTAAAATGCATACTACATTTGTCAAGAAAATAAAAAATGTATTCAGAATATGCAGCTGCAATGGACTTTACAGTATTTTCCCCACTTGAATAGCTAATCATATTTGAAGCACACTGAGGCAGGTCATTATTTTAAGGAATTCTGTGACAAATCCCTTTGGAAAACAAGTATTTTAGAAATTCATAGTTTGTCCTAATATTTTAGAGATTCATAGTTTGTCCTAATATTTTAAAAATAGGTTTGGTTTTCGTAGAGGAAAAAAATAGTGACCCATTCAGCCAACAGAAGAAACATCATTATCATTAAGATGAATTGAGGTTAAAAGACCATCTAAGCACACAATCTGGTAGTATGGCTGTCATTTTCCTAGAGTGCTTTCTTTTTTCTTATAGGAAACTAGAACTAACATTTATTAAATACCTTCTATTTGCCCAAGTAATGTGCTGGGAACGAAACACAATCTACGTTAAAAGTACTTATTTTGCCTCTAAGCCTAGTGGTTTTTTTTTTTTTAAAGAAGTACATATTCTCCTATCCATATTATAGTTTAGTGCTAAGTCTTGAACTCATTTCAATGAGGGATATCAGGAAAAAAAAAAGCTATATAACACTTAGGTTAAAATGTCAGACAGCAATTCATGGTGTGATTATTTTCCAATGATACATGGTTGAGTATATTCTCAGAAAAAGAATGATGATTCAAGTCTTGCTGTTTTGGTATGAGCAAGAACAGAAACTGCTGCTAATTATAGTTTTCTTATACTGTTCTTCCTTTCCATAATTTCTTTCCCTTTATTTGATGCTTTCTTCTCAAACAACTGCAGATAAACTGCATCTATATAAGTATAGCACTAAGTCAAGCAAGATTTAAATACTGTTTTCCCTGATAAACTGGGCCTAACTTTACTTCTAAAATATGAATATCATTTTGATTTTAGAAAAAATAAATATATTACTTCTTTAGATATGAGAAATTATATGCCAAATGCCATTCACTTTCATAACATCCTAAGAATGTTCAACATAGTATATCTCGTATGTTCCTAACGGTACTTTACAAAAAAAATTCTAGTGTACTTTGTGCCTTCTACAGTATTCCCTAATTTTCTGCTTTTTTTACTTTGCATTTAAAATATTTCTCCTGAGTAGTTAATCTATAATTGAAAACTTTTACATTTTACCTTGATCCTCTGCATTCTCTGGAATACTTTGAAAATTAATAATTTCCTTATAACTTTAAAAATCTAATAAAAATTCCTTATCATGTAGCAATACAAGGAGAAAATAAGGAATAAAAGAAAGCTGTTAGTTTATGAACACTTAGCAAATTCTGTAAGATTCACTATGACAAATGAGCATACCCTTAAATGTTGAAGAATATTAGATTAAACTTTTATTTTGAATGTGATTTGGAGCCATATGTTCAAACTAAAGAATTACTTATAATTTACTGCTTGATCAAAATTAACATAAAAACATAAATCATATTTTTAATTCAAACTGACAAAACTACTTTCTAAAGAAAAAAATCTCTGCTTTATGTTGTTGTAATTTTTCTTATGGAATATTGGCAAAGAATGAGAAATTATACTGTGCCACAAATGGTTAAAAGCGATCAATGCTGCTGGGTAGTTTGAACAAGATATATATACATAACTCAAAAACAAGTATTAGGGTATTTTCTCTGGACAGTTAGCTTGCAGATGAAAAGAAGAAACCCAAATCCACATACTGCAATAGCTGTCCTCTTCAAAATTCTGCTATTCCACGTAGATACTTCTTCCATTAATGGTATATGAGTTGGATCATTTTCCCGTTCATTTTGCAACTAGTATTTAGAATAGGAGGAAAAAAAGAGTTTATGTATAATACACTGAAAATAAAAACATCTTTGATTTTAAAAAATACAATAATATCCTTGTTAATTCATTTGATTTAGGTGTGGACAACTCAAGAGTCCCATGGAAGATTTAAAATGTACACCTATGTCTTAAAAGACAGTCTGTCTTTTGCCAGAATCCCATTATTGTAAATTATTAGTTTTACATTAAAAATAAATGCTTTCATAGATTATCACATTTTAAAATGGTATTTTTATGTCATGTGACAAAGTTCCTTTAATGTTAAAGTTTCTATTTTACCCATAAGAAATGACAATTGAAAAAAAAAAAGAAATGACAATTGATATTTATTTCCTTCTGTATTAAAATATCAACTAATGTCTTAGTGAACTCTTATAGCAAACCTGCAATAGATGGAATTTAGCAAATATTTAGCATCAGATGCTAATGCTAGAAGTTTAACACTTTATTTAAATATAATTGTAGTAACAAGTGTCAACAAAAACTTAAGTGGTTCTTTGAGCACTTCTCAGCAATGAAAGTACATGACCCAGTCAGTTTCTAAATTCCCATAGATAGAACTTTCTTGCTAAAGAAGCTCTCCTTTCCCCCTCCCCAATGTGTGTGTGTGTGTGTGTGTGTGTGTGTGTGTGTGTGTATGAGAGAGAGATTGAGAGAGAG